TTAGCTAAGAGGTGGAACACGGAGTCATAAAACAGTATGTATGGAGTTGAAACAAATGGTATGAACTTCCTTGCATTTCTGCTGCCCACTGTTTCTTGCCATATGCCCAGTTTCTGGGCAAGAAAAGGTGACTCTTCTAGAGCCCTTCCTGAATCCCTGTTCCCTCTGAAGGGGCTGACTGCCTTTGAGTTCCAGTTCCAGCACTCGCTATTGCTAGGGAGCATTTTTCTTGCTTCCTGCCCAGCTGGTGAGCATTCGTAAACTTCCTTTATATTATCTGCACGGACACTTTTTTATTATAGACAGAATGAGAGGATATTAACAAGGTGTTTTTCTGACTGAGAAGGAGTAAAGTTAACTGTTGTATACTGCAAATGCTGTAATTTGCTGGCTGAGCCTGGCTGAAGTTTTGGGTGTGAATGGAGGTGTATGAACTTGTTTACTGTCTATTTTCTCAGTGTATGTATGTTTGAAGAGGATGGAAAATAGCATGCTTTTTCTCTTATCTCTCTATCTTTTTACTGCTTGCAGATTTGGATTGGAGATTATCTTTTGAAGATAACTGTAATGCATCTCAGTGTACCAATTTGTGCATTTCAGTTGGAGATTTTGTTTATGATACTGTACAGTGTTTTGAACCCAAATAAGTCTGAATCAGGCTAAGATACTTGGATGCCCAAGTGTGGAAATGCAGAGTCATATGTTTGACTACTCTAATCAAGTGGCAAGAAAATGCATTTTATCTGGTTACAAGTGGATGCTCTAGTTACTAATACAGGTGTTCAGGTTTGGGAAAGGAAAGACTTTCAGCTTGTTCTTGAAAGGTGGCAGGGGAGAAGGGAGGGAAATCAGTTGCTTTATTAGAGCTGTCTGATCACTTAGCTAACTTGGAATTTGAACTGTTCAGCATTTCAGTGTTGAAGTAGTGTTAATGGAGACATTAATTACATGTGATAATTACTAGAGAAAGCTGACTGTGTTGCAAAGTGTAATATTCTTATTTCACCCTATGTTATACCTATTTTTCAAGTCCAGGATAGTGTTGAACCCTTGTTGTCATTCAAACTGTCTTGGATTCAGCAGTTTGGATCTGGAAACTACTTAGTAAAAGGTTGGAGTGAGTCATGGCATGACAGAATCTCAAACCTGTAGTAGGCATTAAGTCACAGCCTAGTTTTTGAATCGGTTCCCAGAACCTTGTGCTTTGTGCTCTCTGGTGATTTTTATGCATTAGTAAGGAAGATGTGATTTTTTGTTTGAAAAACTAGGAAATAGGATAATAAAACCTTGACTCTGTCCTGCCCTGTGTCTCATGCATCACTAGGGATAGTGTTAGTGAACATTTGCTCACATGGTTGCACCGCTATAGGTTTATGTAACTGTAGTGCTGATGCTCTTCTTGGCTGTCTTCCAGTTAGGAATAGCTCTTTCCAGCTTTGACTGCTTTCAAAGTAAGGATTAAGCTGAGGAAACTCACCGTGATCAGGCAATAAACATTTCCATGGGGAGTTCTGTAACTGAATTGGAGGATTTATAGCACAATATGAATTTCCCAATGGTGCATCAAAGGTATATATTTGCAATTGCTAAATCTTAAGATACACTAACAAGAATTTTTTTAAAAGTCTCTTTGTCCCTCTTTCCTGAAGAAAGTGAAACTAATAAGGCCTAACTGTAAGAGGAGAGGGTGAGATGGGCTATAAGGGATTGTCTCTCGGGACAGTATTGTGCTCTCTGCCTTATCAGGTCTGTTTCTGGGATATGGACTAGTCTTAGTGATGCTTTTCTCATGATCTGCTTTGCCAGGCTTGCAGCTGAGGGAGACAGAACTTAAAATGGCTCAGGGTTAGTCTGTGCTAATGGTGAAGGCTAGTATACAAGTAAGGGGAACTCCCTTTTTTTTTTCCAGAGGTAGACCTCTGCTTACAGATTGCTTTCTGCACACCATTTTATCTGGGTGGCCTTTTAAACAGCAGCAGCTTTCCCGGGCAGTCTGAGCTGGCACTGCTTGCTTGGCTGGGTTGTCAGATTCCTAGATGACTGCTATGTGACCACATACTAAAGCCTTGCTGCCTCAGTATAGAAAGGGAATTTGGTGATATGGTTTTGGTGTTTGCATATCATCTAAGCCCTTAGCTTGTATGAAGTACCTAAAACTCACCTGCTTTCATCTTGGAAGCTTCCCAACGGCAAACATTGTCCTCTCATGTGCTCATTCCCTTGGTGTTTGGGTACAGATCCAAACATAAAGCAGTGTTATGCATAAAATAAAACAGAGGTGTGAGTGGTGAACCTGCACCTGTAATTGCACCGTGCAGTTGTCCTGGGCACCACTGGGTATGTCTTTATGGTTAGCCCTGTAAATGCCCAGGTAGCTTGTCCTGGTGACCTGAGGCAGTTGGTATTGCCAGAGCAGCCGTGATCAGTTTGTGTGCAGCTGAGCCCAGCTCAGGTAGGACAGGATCCCTGATGGATGGAGCCTGTGGGTGTGCAGTCTGGGAGGACTGCAGCTCAGCAAAGAGGAGCCCAGGAGCCCCTTCAGAAGAAACTGGTGCCTGGTTGGTGCTGGCTATGGGTGCCAGCAGTGGGTGGGTGTGACTGCTGCCACTGCCTCTGTACTCTTGTGAAGAGCTTGGTGACTCAGTACCCAGCTGGGAACAGTGTGAGATGGAGGGGGCATGGCACTCAGCTGATAGACCTTGTGGGGTCTGAAAGTCTGCTCAGTGAATTTGAGGAGTTGTTTATGGGTTGGATAGAATTGGCTTTAAAATATTAATACCTATGTTGTTGGCTCTTACTCTTGTTTGGAACGAGTAGCTTGGATTCACTGTGGCAGTGTATTTTGTCCACTACAGTTTAAAAATCACCATGTACATCTTGAGTACACTGAACAAAGTGTAGTGTTACTACATCTATGGTACAGGATTGCAGTAAATTAACTGCGTTGGCATTTTCTGACATTTTGAGGGGACTAATATCAAACTGTTCAAACAAGCCATCTGGTAACTTTTCGTCTCCTTTTTTTTCCTTTAAAAAGGGAGGTGATTTTTACCTCACAGTAGAAATGAATTTTTATGCCTGCATTAAGCAACCTACAGAAATACATGAAGAAATTTTAACGATTTTATCTCAGTTGATGGGTATAGTAAATAAATAAAGACTAACAGAATAGTGAATGTGAAAATATTAGCAGTTATTTCACTGCATAATCAGTGTCTAAAAAAAAATAAGACTTTTGGTGTGACTGAGGAGTACAGTCTTGTAATTATAATATGCTACTTAAATTTAGGGGAATTAAATGTGTCTGTAAATGTATTTTCTTGTTGTTGTTATTCATGTGCATCACAAGAATGTGATTCTGTGAGTATTGCTTTGAGAAGCCTAACTTACCCCCATGGTAAGTCATTCTGCCTGGCTCTGAGCATGTAAGATACTTTTGGGATAGGGCTAATTGTCCAGCTTTTGGAAGGCTGAATTTGAGCATGAGATTTACTCCAATTTCCTGTTTTTAGCCCCATATTTTTAAAGAAAATGGCATGGTTTTAGCCAAAATAGTGTAGGAAAAGATTCTGAGTTACTGATGTTTCAGGTTGCAGTTTGCATGTGCAAAATGACCTTTAACTTTGTGTGGCTCTTGGCTTTTGTGATGGACTGTTGTTGTAACCCGCAGGGTTAGAGATGGGGATGAAGTTGTATGAAATAGTAATTTTGGTGGTGCTTGTGTAGTCAGAAGGCAGAATTTGCATTATAAAATCTCCCATTCTGCACCATGCTGTGTCATTCAGTCATCATCTGTGTGTGTGTCTCTCAGAAGACTTTAAAACAAATTTATTTCTTTTATGGCTCCATTCACTTCCAACTCTCTGTCCATTCTAAGTAGACTGTTCTTTCCTGCAGTTGCCTGTAAGATGTAGTCTTTGCCATTTGCAAAGCACTTTGACTTCATATTTAAATTGCTATACAATATATGAAGCTAGTGGAACTTAATGTAGTATCCCTGGGTATTTAGAAATTTCTCGGCAGGGAGAGGGAAAGTGAAGACATTTGGGATATCTAGGTTTTTCCCTGAAATGTGTAGGAAAGTGATTTTTCTTAGTTTGGTGTGTTTTACACGAACATTTAAATCTTGAAAGAATTTATAAGACCAATGAAAGAGTTTATACTTGTTTAGAAATTTGCAAGGAGACCTTAAGAGCAGGAAATGTAAAATAAAATTGCAAATGGTTTAATGGATGGCCTTGTTTAATTGTAAATAGAACTGGTCAGGTGTAATTGGTGACTTGAGCTTAAGCAGAAATACAGATCTAAAGGTGTTGAGAATTATCTCCCTTCTCATTTCAGCTGTTCTTTTGTGTTCAGGTGTTTTCATGTTGTGGAAGACAACCAGGCTACCTTGAGAAATGGTCAGTAGGGAGGTCAGCAGCAGGTGGTGGTTTGGGAAATGCTGCTTTTGGTATTCTAGATGTCAGTACCTTTATTCCAGAGACTGATGTGCAGGAAAATTTAGTCTGATCTATATGCATAAACAGAAATAGTTATGTAGAACTAGTTACAAGTAGTCTCAAAGGGTTAAAAGACCAGCATTGCTTCAGTGTCCTTAAAACCTGATTTTGTGCAGCTAACTGCATAGGCTGTTGATAAATTTGTTTAAACTTTCTGACTTACTGTTGAGGAGAAAATGCCTTTAATTTCTGAATCGGCTCTTCCAACCATCAAAAATTGCAAAGGCTACTTGTTTGCTGTTAATGGAGTAAAAGTTTGAGAGTGAGACCAGTGAGGGGACATACTGCATTATTGTAACTAGCAAGGCAAAGTGAATTTTACACTTCTGTGAAAAAGAAATAAGCATGTGGTCTCCTGAAATAATTCTGCCTCTGAAATAGGCTGTGGACAACTTGTCTTCTCCCTTGCCCTGTCTTTCCCCTTCCACCCCCTTAGAATGCAGATGGTTGAAGTCCTTATAAACATACATAGTGAACTGTCCTTCTTTTTTCCTTTAGGGACCAGTTACTCTCCACAAGAAAATTCACACAACCACAGTGCTCTTCATAGTTCAAATTCACATTCTTCTAATCCCAGCAATAATCCAAGCAAAACTTCTGATGCAGTGAGTATTTCTGATTGGTATTCATCCCTGGGTCACCCCATTCATACACACTGTGTTTGCATCATTTTGCCTAAAACTGGCAGCATGCTGAGTTTTGTTTGTGTTTTCCAGCATCAGCCTTTGTTTTATAAACAGTCTATAAACCCAAGCTGCAGTTGTAGTACATTGCAAAACTATTCTAATTGATAATAATTGCAGCTTTGAGCTACCTGTCTTGAATTTTAAAATACTAGATTACTTAAATGAGGTAGATACAGAGAGAAACATTTTCCATTGATTTTGTGGTAAATCTAGAGAAGGTAGTATGATCTTACTTACTTAAGATGCATTGCACTTTGTGAATTTGAATCACTTTATTGTCCAAGTTTTAGTAGTTAAGGTGGTGGTTGTTAAAAATTGCACTGAAACAAAATAGGTAAATTTGTGATGTGTAAAAAAGTTTTGAAAAAGTAATCATTTTTGAGGAAGCTTTGAGGTGAAGGAAACTAATGTTGTCAATATTGACATTACTGTATCCCACTAAACATGCTATTAGATTTTGTTTCGGGGTTAATGGGAATAAACCAGAGCAAACTATTGCAGAATTGAACAGGAGTATAGTGGTCACATCTTCGAACTATCAATGCAAGAGGCATTTAGAGATGGTATAAATGGACAGCAGTGATGTGGGTGCATGTAGGGATGCCATGTAGTTTCAGAAATGGTGAAAGCTACTAAATTTGTATATTAAAACTCCCAAGCTGTCTCTTGTCCAACACTGTCTGTATTTGAAAGGCTTATGATTCTGCGGATGACTGGTCTGAACACATCAGCTCTTCAGGCAAAAAGTACTACTACAACTGCCGAACAGAAGTTTCACAATGGGAAAAACCAAAAGAGTGGCTGGAAAGGTATGTGGTTGTGTCTGGTTTAATTGTATAAAAAACAAATAATCTAATTATCTGACTAGATTATTGCTGTAAAATATTTCGGTCTAAGTCTCCTGTGTTCCTCCCCTTAATATGATCTCTGGCACCTATTTTATCCCTTGACAATCCAGACCCTGAGGGGAAAGTATAGTTGGTTTGGTTGTTTTGGGTTTTGGTGGGTTTCGTGTTTTGGTTTGGGTTGTTCTTTTTCCATTGTATTTTACCTTTGTATTGCCATGTTAGTGATCTGAAGTGGCATATTGTGGGCTCCAGCAAGCATTGGTGTAAGGAAGCAGTTGCTGGAGTTTGCCAAGCCCACCTGTACCAGCAAGATCTTAGAACAGCTTAATTCATCTTGTGTAGCTTCACCTGTAGAAACTGTTCCATTATTAGATGATGTAAGTTCCTACTTAACTTTTGTTTTCTTTTCTTCAGAGAGCAGAGACAAAAAGAAGCAAGCAAAATGTCAGTTAACAGCTTTCCAAAAGATAGGGATTACAGAAGAGAGGTGATGCAGGCGACAGCTGCCAGTGGGTTTGCCAGTGGAAGTATGTGGTTTTTTTACAGCAATCTATGCTTGCCTTGTTTGCTTTACTGTTCCCTAAACCTAAAAAATGAAAAAAATCTCTCCCCTTAGCTGTTTTTCTCACCTTTTCATATATGAAAGCCAAAGTGGATGGCACAGACAGCTCTCCCAAATGTTGTTTCTTAAAATAACTTTGAACCTTTACTAGTACAACACTTGCTTAATGCTTTTCATGGTGCTTCTCCTTTTTGCAGCTTTTACTGCCTAATTTAATTATCTTCATGGGTAGTTACTTAAACAACTTGCACTATTTATAGTGTAGTTGGACTGTCGTGATCATTGAGCCCTGCTTATGTCATATTCTGAGCTTAAAAATAGAGATGCAGAAGTCTCTTGTAGAACCTTGATTTCACATCTGAAAGTGATAAACTAAATTACTGGATTATGATATCAGGGTTTGCAGAGGCTTGTGTTTGTTAGTGAAAGCATATTTTTAGCACACCAGTACTCTTAGCAAAACCATTCCTGGACTATGAATTTCTGTAACTTGGAAATTTTTTTCCCTGATGTGTGGCTTTTATCTTTGTCAGGTTTTTTTTTCTGAGGAGTAGTTGTACTGTGAGAATGTTTCTGTATGTAGCTTGGGTGAATTTGTGGCATAGCTCTTGGGATGGTTTAAAAGTAGAAGCCAGAGTATGATTCTTCCCTCAGACTCTTGGGACTTAACAAGGCAGAGATGGATAAAGGGCTGTTTTCCTGTGTACTGAAACATACTGCATATGCTAAAACATGCTGGATGCTACAAAATGATAGCAGACATGCATATTGCAGTAGGTATTTGTTTTGTGACAGGTGAAAATCCAAGAATCTATGAAAAGAATTACTCCGTATGTGCTTGGTCTGTTCCCTGTGTAGTGTATTTTAAAGTCTACAATGGTGTGACCAATGCAAATTAGTCACTCAATTAATACATATAGTTGTCTTGAATTAATTCAACAGTAAGTAAATTAGTGGCAGTAGTACTCAAGTGACTTGAAGAGAAATTCTATGAAGGCTAGCATTTGAAACTGTTAAATTAGACTCGATGTTCAGGATTTTCAGTGAACAAAAGAAAAATGGCACAAATTATCTCTTCATGCTAAATACAAGATGGAAATAATAGATTTTGATTTAGATTTTTTAGGAGACTTCAGAAGTTAACTTGACTGTAACACTGGTTATAAGGCAGCCTTTCATCAAAACACAGTGCTTAACTGGAACTCTAAATCAAGCAAAGGTCAGAGAAAATGCCTTTTGTCAGTGAGTAGAATTAAATTTTGCCTTTTTTGATGCTGATCTACTTGAGGCTTTTTTAATCCTAAGAAGTTCAATCAGCTCTAGTTGTTGATGTGCAGCTGTAGTAATCAAAGTCACTGCAATCTTAGACTCATTGCTAATTTAATCTTTCTTTTTCTTTCTCGCGACGTTACTTGGGGAATCCTGAAAAAAGTGGAAGACAAGCATTCCAGTGACGCCAGCAGTATGCTCCCACAGAATATTTTATCTCAAACGAGCAGGCACAATGACAGAGACTACAGACTGCCAAGAGCAGAGACTCACAGTAGTTCTACTCCAGTACAGCATCCCATCAAACCAGTGATTCATCCAACTGCTACCCCCAGCACTGTTCCTCCTAGTCCATTTTCTCTACAATCTGATCACCAGCCAAAGAAATCCTTTGATGCTAATGGAGCATCTACTTTATCAAAACTGCCTACATCTGCATCTTCCATCCCTGCACAGAAAACAGAGAGAAAAGGTATGTCTAGAGAAATTCCCTCTAGTATTCAAGATGATGCATTGCATTTCTGTTGCTTGTCCAGAGTATGTTAGTTCTCGAATTTAAAGATATTTTTCCTGTTTGACTGTGTGTGCTTAGAACCCAATTACTGTTTTGATGTGTTTATTTCCCCCTAAACCACGTTCCTGTGTCTTACACAACTTCAGTTTGATGCTGCAATATTTGCTATTTACTGGCTTATTCTGCAAATTATCATTTCGAGTGATAATTTGAGAGATGTGTTTTAGTAGAACATATTTTACTTTTTGTCTTCTCTCTTGCTGTATTGGATCTTTGCCATTATTTGAATTCTTAACATAGATGTAGTTACACCATTTGAAAGTCATTTTGGACCATTATGTTTTATGAACTGCTGTTACTGTTTGGAATGCCAGTGTCAAACTTTCAGTAAACACAAGTGCAATTCTCACAGAAAGTGAGACAGTTTTCTACATGTTTGTAACAGCTACTCTCTTGTTTTGGTCTGTATCTCGTGAAGTACTGGATCTTTGGTTTTAAAGCTGCTGAAAGTTCTTATTTCTGTGTAATACCCATGAGATACATTCCCAATCAAAAAGTGAAGATCAGGACTTCACTGTGCATTGTTTGTGACCCTTCAGAAGTCTGTATTTTAGTTGGATTTACTTCATTATTAGGGAAGAAGTGCTCAAGAAGATTGTGAGAATGAGATGTGTGTTATTAGTGATAGTGTGATGCTTTGGTGTAGTTGAGTTTTTAGAGACTGAGACTAAGAATTCTATTTTGAGGGCTTCGGGAGGGGTAAAAGTAACTTTGGATAATCACGTATGTTTTAATTTAAAATACTGCATAAGTAGTATGTCACTGAATTCTTTTTTGGAAGATGGCATGTTGCCCTGTTGATACTTATAAGTCTGTCTAGTTAGAGAAGAACTGTGTCATTTTAAAAAGACAGCCAAAACAGACTCTGATCTGACATTGGTCCTGTTCTCTGTATTTGTTCTGGGCCTTTCAATTTTCTTTATTGAAGAATTCCAGCTTGTACACAGAGATAAGTGCACCAGGCCAGTCAAAACATTCAAACAATACCATACATTGCAGTACTTGTCAGTGTAAAAAAATTGTGCATGTAAAGACTTTTTTAAATCTTTTTTCTTGAGACTGTGCAATTTTTACATGATCTGGTGCATGAATGCTGACTGTCACTTACAGAGGGACAGATGATTTTCAGCAAGCCTTTTTCTGTCCAACACAATAAAGCTTGAAGTAGAGTGTACTAGTTCATGCATGGTTCTTGTGCTGAATGCAGCAGTTACCTACTTCAGTTAAACCTCTGTTCTGATTACATTTTGATGCACTTTTAAGCATTACAGCCATGTCATCCATGTCAAGGGTTTCCTCCTTTAGTGTATCTTCTCTATTTCCATTTCTATCTGTAAAATGTACTGAAAGAAAACCCTTATTATTACTCCCTTCTGGCATGTTCTTGATTCTTGTTTGGTGTGTGATCAGACTTCAGACTGGATATTCTTTCCCTGTTTTACTACACATCTGTATTAGTTGAGCAACTGACTCTTACAGCAATTGAAGAACTTCCCATTGTGACAGCTCTTACAAATGCTGGCAGAGGATTCCAATATTTCTTGCATACAACATTAATTTGAGAGCATACAATTGGGTATGAATAGTGAAAATGATCACACAGGGCAGTCTTGACACTGAAAATCTTACTCAGAATCTGTGTTACCGTGCATGGCTTCATAATAAATAATTCACGTAATTTCTGTATTCCTAGGTAGGTGTTTTTTAATTTTATATTGGTTAAATAAATAGATGCTCTGTAATGGTTATGGCTCATTGATATAAGTGTTTCATGGCACTTGATTGTGAGCAAATACAGTACTTGCTGAGCTTCAGACAGGGTGGACTACAGTGAGTTAGTAAATAAGTGAATAATTAGGGTATGTGAATGTTAGGCTTGAAATTCTTGTTCTGGAAAACGTGAGTTTTCACATGTTGCTTGAATTTACCTCACAGAAACAGGAAAATTTAATGCAGGTTGTATCATAAGAGATCATTCAAAGAGTATATTTGGTTGTCTTGCCCTTTTTTTTTTTTTTTTAATGGAGTGCTGAACTTGTTTTTTAGGGAAATTTGACCAGTACATTTTCTGTAGCATTTTGCATTTTTGCATTTAAAAGGAGGGAAGAAGCAGTGTTTTGGATGGTTTACTTGTTATTTATTCTCTCAGGTGACCATGAACCTGCTGCATTATAGGTATGCAGTTTTTAAAGCATTTTTTTTTGGCTGTTATACAAAATAAAACTAAAATAATTGGTCCTGAGACACTTGGTTCAAACACTGTTCTAAAAGTGTCTTTGTAGAATTCGGAAAATAGTTTGAGAGTTTTATTTTTACACTAGTAGTGCAAACAGCCTTTGATCTTTTTCTGTTCAATGGCTGTGCAATCTCTTTCTAAAAGGAGGTAAAACTGTGGGGTGATCTTTTTCTGTTCAATGGCTGTGCAGTCTCTTTCTAAAAAGAGGTAAAACTGTGGGTTTTTTGTCTATAAAAATAGCTTGGTCCAAATGACTGAATAATATGTGCAGTAGTCCTTGCTTAAATTAATTCTTGCTTCTTGTCAGTGTGTTGCTGGCAGCCTTATGCCAGCATATATGTACTACTGTTTGACTAGTTCTGTTTCTAGTGTGTATTTTTTAATGCAGTAATAGCTATGAACAGCAAAGCAAGAAAATACCTCAAAACCCAACAACGCTTTTTTCAGCTCAATCTCTTTTGCTGCAGGGGTATGTTGTAGTCCCACAAGGAGATTGAATAAAATCCCTGGCTGAACTCTAGCTCAGCTGTTAGCTGTAGTCCTCTGCCCTCAATGGCTGGCAGTAGTGGAGAGTTCCTGGGGAACTATTTGACCTCTACCCTTTGGTTTGAATGTTCCAGTCAGAATCTGCTGCTTCTGTTTGTGCTCACTGTGAGTGCTTTATGCAGGTAAAGTGTGGGGTTGCTTTTCCTACTTTTTGGCTGCTTTATCTGTAGGGCACATCACATTTTCCTATTTCTAATTCAGTTCCTGAATGAAATGTTGTGTTGTCTGTACCTTAACAGTGTGTCTGTAGGATATTGCTTCTTACACCTTTCCTCCAAGTCCCATCAGGCAGCACTTCTGTTTCTGGTGCAGCAATACTCTCATTTTTGTGAGAGCACAGCAACCTGACCAGTGCAGTCCTGAGTGGGTTGTGGCCCTGGTGCTCCTTGTCCTTTTCTCACCCCTTTGGTTTTCTTACTTGTAACACTTGCTAGTCTTTAGCAGTCAGTTACTAACATTGTTTCTGGTGTCTTTGTATCTTTGGCTGAGTTTTCTAGTTATAAGTATATTACTCAACTCCACCCTTAGAAAAGGTTACTCCTGTGAGACTATTACTGGTTTCTTTCCAGTACTTTATACTTGTTTGCTGAGTATTGCTGTTGCATTGGTTTTGACAGCAGAAGTAAACTACTGAAAATCAGTTTTAAGACTGGAGTAATCCAAATGTGAAAAATAGGGAATTTTTTTGTATTTTAGATAATTTGAGAATCCAGTTACTGTTCTTGCCATAGTTTAATTTGGCCAAATGTGTTTACAGAATACGTTGGCTTGAAATATTCGTAGATTTTTGTTGTGGCTTAAAGTGCTTAAGAACTGAACTTTGTAAAAAAGATAAATGTAACTGTCACTGCTCAGAGAACTTAGTTGGTGGACTGTACACTTCAGGCACTTGAGCACAGAAAATGTGTTAGGATTCTTCAGCAGCAGCAGATCAGCAATTCTGTTTGCTGCTCTGGATAGTGGTTGTTTAGTGAATGGAGCAGAGATGAGGTTTATTTTCTTTATATTCCTCCCAGGAGCACACTGTGAGAGCAGCACACGTGCATGTTTGTTGCCAGCAGTGCCAGGATAACAGCTCAAGCTCACAATAGAATGGTTGGGCAATATTGTAGTGTTGAACCTGAAGGACTTTTTATGTATTTGTTTTGTTTTAAATGACACAAAAATTACACCAGTAGTAAAAAGCTATTGGAACACTCAAAGGGTCGCTTTAATAATTTACGAATTATCTAGTCAAGAGTAGTGGATAATTTCCATGTTACTAAAAAATAAATCTTTTATTTCAATCAGAATAAGAGCAAGCAATATATAGCAGTATTGTAAAGCTACTCATGTAGGGAGTGTTAGTATGTTACTTGTCAGAAGGGAGGACCATGAAGAAAGGTCCTTCCTCCACAGAAAGGCATTTCCTCTTTTTGTTTCTCTTTCCCCACTCACTTCTGTCCCACTAACATGCCTGGTGGACTGGCCATGCTGTGGGCAGGAAGGGAGTAAGTTTCCTCTAGGGACAGGACTACAGCAGGTAGAATGAGGTGGCCAAGGCACAACAGAGGTGCAGGAGGGACTGTTGGTGTCAAGTGGCCTTCATTGAAACTGGCTAGCTGAACAGTCACAAGGCTCAGTTTTTCACCCTCTGCATTAAAACTAGTCTGAACAACTTCAGCTGTGCCATGCTAGGCTCAGGGTTGCCTTGCAGAATGTCACTCACTAGTGGATCCGCTGTTTGCTTAGGAGGAAGAATTCTTGTTCTAAGAGGCAGAGATTGGTGACAGCAGGATTCATTCAGCAGCATGTTTGTACTGCCTCACACTCTGAGAAGTGTGTCTGGGTTGTCACTGAAGAACATTGTGGCACAGTTGCTGAAAATGACTTATTTTTTTCTGAAAGCATAGCTTGGCCAGGTTAATAAAGAATTCACACTGCTTGGAACATCACACTGCTGTGTTTTGATTCTGACTTGTCACGGTGTTTCTGGGGCAAGTAAGTGCCTCCAGTTTACCTCAGATACCTTTTTGCAAAGCCTGCAACAAACACATACCTGTGGCATACAGGTTCTTGTCATGGGAGTACTGACTGATAACTTGGAATTCTTTCCTTTGCATCCAGAAGATGTGATTGCAGGTCAGAGTCCCAGCTGAGCAGGTTATGAATAGAAAGCTCTTCCCTAATCACTGTGGTCTTCAAAAATTTCTTTTAATTTTTAAAAAGTCTTTTCCTGCTGTATTTGAATGTTAAGACAATTAATGGTTCTTCACATGAAGTTTAATCTCCATGTCTAATTTTAATTTTTTTGCCATCTGGTTACTTTGTTTTCTTCCCTTTTTTTGTAGATGGCTTTATTTCTTGATCATTTTTACCATGTGATTAAAGTTGATGGTCCCAAAAGTTGTTCAGTTCTACAATATAGTTCTGTATGTAGGCTCCATCTAATAAGTTTGTGTGCATGATTGTCAGAAAACAAACTGGATTTTCACATTGTTGCACCAAAGTGAATGGGATTTTTTTACAAGCTTTCTCAAAACCTCCAGATACTGAAACTATAAGGTGCTTAGCTTATAATGGAAATAGGGGTGCAAAGTCCTATTTTTAAAGTCTCCAAAAAATTGAAAAAGAATATTTCTTTTATTTATTCAAAGGAAGAGAGAAAATGTAAGTTCTAATTAACGAAGTTTTTAATACTTCAAAAGATCACAGCAGGCTGAGTTCCACTTTTGGTTTTTATTTCATCGGTTTTATTATTTTTAAGACTTTCTTGGTAATAGCTGAAATTAGCTTGATTGATGCATTAGTGATTCAGGTTAGATTTACAGGTATGAATTTACAGGTATGAATTACTGCCATGTAATCCAAAGCCTTATCTTGCAATAATAGCACAGATAGCTTGTTAATGAATTAATACTTCAAAAGATCACAGCAGGCTGCATTCCACTTTTGGTTTTTATTTCATCTGTTTTATTATTTTAAAGACTTTCTTGGTAATAGCTGAAATTAGCTTGATTGATGCATTAGTGATTCAGGTTAGATTTACAGGTATGAATTTACAGGTATGAATTACTGCCATGTAATCCAAAGCCTTATCTTGCAATAATAGCACAGATAGCTTGTTAATGAATGGGAATTGATGTTGACAAGGGAACAACGTGTCAGAGTTGTAAAACTAAAGGGCTTAGATTTGTGAACATACTTAACTTTTCTCAGCATGCTGTATTCATCTTGACTGTGCTTCATGATGTTTGAGGCTTCGAGTGCCCTTGAGAACTGCAGGGTTGTGTAATTAGTAATGAATAAGCATGTTTTAAAAACCCTAAGAAATGTTTTAGAAACTAGAAAATAGTGTTTAGATGTTGAAAAGTAAACTTAATCGTGTGGCAAAACATACAGTGAAATAGTCTCTCAAAGCAGATCAGAAAAAGGGAGTTAGGGAGGAAAAGGAGTGAGAGGTTTCTCCTGTTTGTGGAAAAAACAGGAAAAATGCACAACCCCAGTGAGTGATACCTGAGGGTTTTTGTCAGACAAATGCTTCATCTTAAGGAGTTTTGGCTACTTATGTTAACTTCAAAAAGGAAAATTTGCAAGCTCTGTATAGCATCACAAACCATTTTTTAACCTTTGTAATTGTGTTACACAAAAAGGGTTGTGAAAATATTTAGAGGCTTTGTTATATTGACAGTATTTCTAGAGTTTAGTTCTGTGAAATCAGACATCCAGACTGGAAGCCGTGGAGTTAAAGTAAATTGGTTTAAATTGAGGTAGAGAAAGTTGTGATTATACACAAGGAAGATGTAGTATGTGGTTTTTTGCATGTTTCTTTCCATCACAAAGGAGTTTCCCTTTGTAGAGACAAAAATATCCATGCAGGTTACTTAATACAAACAAGAAATACTTTTATTTCCACAAATATTTTTACAGGTTTGTATGTTGGGATTTTTTTTTCCAGAAGCAGGTTTATATCCTTTATTTCACTAAGCAAAACTTATATTACTTAATGTCTGTCCTGCAATGATTGTATTCTGCATCCTCTATGATCTTAAATAAGAGTTACAATGTGATGAACGTGTAGATAGTCATTAGCATAGAGGTGTTTTCTTTCATAGCATTTAGACTGTTGGGTTTGTATTGTTAAGTGTCTCAAAAGTTTGGATTGTTAGCATTAGGCAGCATCCTTGTTTCACATCTCTAGGTGTTTAATTTGGGTGATTGTGCAAGAAATACCTTTTACAGATACATTTTAACCCATACTTAAAATACCTGCAATAATACAGCTGTGGAATAGTGTCTCCAGTTTGTCTAGAAGAAATAACTGGGCTGTTGTGTTTATGTAATTCAGTTTGAATTTTTCTACCATAGAAGCTCACCCAAACTAAAGTACTTTTACAGACCTCATGGAACTGGTGTTTTTGAATTACATATTTTAAGTTCTGTTATTCAAGAAATGAGTGAATACCCAGAACTGGTCTTAAGGTTTGTCTTCACAAAATTGTCATCTTTAGTTTTGATTCAGTTTTTCTTCAGAACTGCAGCATGGGTGAAAAATAGTTCAGCTGTTGGGTATGGTGCTATGGTTTGAAGGTCAGGTATTGCTTATGTGAATTAGTAATATAGTACTGAGTTGCTTCTTAATATTTAACTGCAAAGAGAAGCATAACTACGTCAAATATGTTCTGAAATTAGTGCAGGCAGTTGCTCAGTATTTTTTTTCTTTACTTGTTTTACAATGAGGGTATTTGGGTGTTTGTTGTGTGGTTGGTTGGGTTGGTTTTTCTTTGTAAGGTTCTCAACTGTAGGGTAGGAGGATTGTACATGTAAGTACTAATGTGCTCCATTGTGATTATTTCCCTTTTGTCTGTCAGTGTATGTTGTCCTTATTTGGACTATGACAGATACAAATTCAGTTTAAACTTCACATGTTTTTGTTTAGTACAATAAGGTTCTTGTTCATCAGATGTGTCGTGACCAGCAGTTGTCTTTAACATTTACTTTGAACATTATAACCTAAGATTTTATATGCAATACTTTCATAACAAAGACTTTTACTAATGACTTACTGTTTTAATGGGGGCTAATACTTAATCAGCTGTCTTAGTGCACCTAATGACTTACTGTTT